CCAGCTTATTCCTCCCTTTAAATCCATGGAGCATGCAGCACCTAAACGTCGCGCCACCTGTTTGCTGTAGTGGTGGCAGGCGCATTTGGCGGTGGCAGTCGAGTGGCAGGTGCAGATAGCGGTGGCAGGCGCACATAGTGGTGGCAGGGCGATTCCGCCTATCCCGCCTTCACTAACTTTAAATTAATCGACAACGAATTGTGACTCACGGGAAAAACGGGACGTCTGGTAACCTTAGGTAGGTAACCCTACCCCCTTCTGGTGCTGAGGCCATTGTTTCAGATCGCTAGTTCGCATTTTGGTAGCCTATCCATCCACTGCGGCTGCCATACTGAGACTAGATATGCAAACGCCCCTTATCCGATCGCAATCCAATGACAGGGACGCACATTTTGAAGGACAAGACAGTAGTCTATAGCAATGGTTCCCAACCTTTTTTTCAGGAGACCCCTATTTTAACACTGAAAATCTTTACCGACCCCATGCCCCCCCCCATTCAAACACACTAGCTGACACATTTCATTTAATGTGACAGTCAGTTGTATACGTTTTTAATCAATGCAAAAACAGCTGAATGCAAACAATTAGCTGCAACTTGCAACTATTGATTTTTTCCCAACAACAGGTTCCACTTTTTTCCCTAAACCTGATGAACAAATAACAGCATCACATTTTATTCTGTTAATGTAAATATCAAACAAATCTATACATTTCACTTGTTACTAGGACTACTGCGGTCAAGCCAGCCGCAGTTCAGAAAAACACGGTCAAGCCAGCCGCGGTTGAAATTGGTATGCGCGCGTATTACAATGATAATAACAGCATCACATTTTATTCTGTTAATGTAAATATCAAACAAATCTATACATTTCACTTGTTACTAGGACTACTGCGGTCAAGCCAGCCGCAGTTCAGAAAAACACGGTCAAGCCAGCCGGGGTTGAAATTATTGTGCGCGTGTATTACAATGATTACGGTAATTGCAGGGACACAGAGAGAACGCGCTTTCAGAGCACTTATCATTTAGACGCCCAGATGTGACATATAATACAAGATGACATTTCTCGATTTCTTTTTTGTACTTTTGCTTTAATATGGGTGTTATTTATTGGTGTTTTGACGGTTGTGTGTTACTGTATTTTTGTCGACCTTTCAAATCATAGCAGGATTCCTAGAAAAAGAGAAATGGGAAATTATTCGATTTAGAGGGCTATAAAGACCCCATTTCTAATAA